GCTGAGCAGGGAGCCCGATGTGGGACTCGATCCCGGGACTCCAGGATCATGACCTGAGCCGAAGGCAGTCGCTTAACCAACTGAGGCACCCAGGCGCCCCATTTTTTTAGAGATTTTATTTATTTATTTGAGAGAGAGAGCACAAGCAGGGGGAGGAGCAGAGGGAGAGGGACAAGCAGACTCTGTGCTGAGCACAGAGCCCAACTTGGGGCTCAATCCCAGGACCCTGACATCATGACCTGAGCTGAAATCAAGAGTTGGACACCCAAGCGACTGAGCCACCCAGGCACCCCTAAATATACCGATTTTTATAGATTAAATCTTTGCATACTATTAATAGTTAGAAGTTCCACGTAACGAGTTGAATAGCTAATGTTCTTCTGTGAGTATAGAGCTAGCTGTTAGCTCTACAGTTCAACTTGGGTAAGGAATATTGACTTTTCCTGTATTTTCATCTTTATGAAAACACACGCAAAATAGTATAAGCACTTCCTTAGGACAGTAGGCTTGAGTTGTCATTGTTAGTACCGGGAACATAGTGGACATTTAATAAATATTTTATGAATAAATGCGTATCTCTTCTATCCTTCTAAAAATATTTGCCTTCTACCTGAACCTCTGTCAGTGTTCCCTTGGGAATAGAAGCTTTCTTTCAGGAGAAGCTTGGGTTGGAACTATGGCAACCGGCATGAGCTGGTGTGGAGCCTGCCTTCTGTTAACCTTAGCATCCCCCCACACACACGTTCCTTCTAGCTGTAATCTTCCCATTTCCATAGTGACTAATGCTTGTGAAAACCATTTACATTTGATGATAGCTTTTGTTTAAACAATACTTTTATATGCCTGCCCTTAGTTAGGCCTTACAGCTCTCTGACTTTATCATCCTCTTTAAATCTTCTTTACCAGGTAGGGAAATTGTCACCAGAGAGGTTAAGGGATTTACTCACCCTAGAGGCCGTGTTTTATTCTGTGACATATTTGTTGTTATCATCCTTGTTTTATGGATAGGGAAATTGTCATGAGATTAAGAGATTTACCCAAGGACACTCTGCTAGTGACCTGAATTTGAACCCAAATTTTCTGGCTCAAGAGATCATGCTTTATTTACTGTAGTACTCTGCTTCTATATTAGCCCTTTACTGAGCAAAATTTAAGTTTCTCAAGGCTCTGCTTTCCAGCTAGCAAGGCTAATATTCTTTCCATGTTGCTACCCACCAAAGATCAAAGAGGAATCTTTAAGGTGGTGGTAGTGGGAAGTATGTTTCTGACAGCCTTACCTGGAACTCACAGATTTGTTCAGTTAATAGACATTTATTCTACATTTACTATCTGTTAAGTAAGTAACTAAGTGCTCTGGAAATGATAATCATAGTTTATATTGGTTAAAAAGGAAATAAATATGTTGGTGGGTCCATTTATGATACAGCTATTACAGAACCATGACAAAGTGCTATGAGAGCACAGAAGAGGGACTGATTTAGTCAGCCTTGGGGTGTGAGGGAGGACTTCTTAGATGAGGTGACATTTGAACTAGGTTTTGAAGGATGAACAGATTACAGAGATTGAGGACATTACACAGAACAGCATGTGCAAAGGCACTGGGTGTGACAGAGCATGTGTGCACGCTGAGAGAATGGTGGATAGTTGAGCTTTTGCTGTAGGAACGATAATGGCAGGAGATGAAAAGTGACTGCAGAGCTAGTCTGTGGTCAGATTATAAAGGTCTTTGAGTGTCTTGTTATGGAGTTTGGACTTTACCGTTTAAACATCAGAAGCCATAAAAGTTTTTAAGCAGAGAAGAGTCATGGTCAGACTCATATTTCAGGAAGATGCTACTGGAGGAATTGAGGGAAATGGCTGAGAACAGAGAAGGACTGGTGGCAGAGAAAGGTGGAAGGAGATTGATGCCGTCTGTGGTCCTGGCCTGAGTGACAGTGCAGCTCACTTTCCTACCATGTGTTAGAGCAGCCGTACCTTTCCCTACAGCAGAAAGCCATGTGATCTGCACAGAAGGCCTCGGAGTTGCTAAAAAAGCAATCCTTTAGTCTAACTCTCTTTTTAGATGATGTCTGGCTGTCTGGCTGCTGGCTGGCTGGCTGTCCAGACAGAGAAACCAGATTCATAATGAGAAAGTAAAATGATATGGTGATGGTAAGAATACACCTGAAGCCTTCTGCCTTTATCTTCATATTTTCTCCGTGTTCTCTTTACAAAGACAGACTTATGTATATATGTTGGAAAGATTTCTAACTTTTAGTAAGTTTTTAAAAGGTTAGGAGGAAAGGGGAAACACTGTTCTTTAGAACAGTTTATTCTGTGATGATTTTGAATAGTAAATCTATTTTATATATTTGGCTTAATGAGTGACTTTTTGGCTTCTTGTGATGTGTGTCAGATGAGCTGTCACGTCATATGTGTAAGTTAATGTGTTTGTCTTACTGCAGCACGTAATAATATGTCGGCATGTATATTGTGAATTTTTCTTCCTGCAAAGTAAAGCTCTGGGTTATAAAGCTCTGTGTAGTGGCTCTGGTTAGTGAATGTTTGTTTCCTGCCACGAGCTGCTTTTCCCTGGCCACCGCTACTCCAATCTATTATGAGCTTAAGTCAAAAAGAACCTTTCCCTTAGAGGCTGAGATTCCATAAACTTGTAAGTGCAATTTTTTTTTTTTTAAAGATTTTATTTATTTGACAGAGAGAGACACAGCGAGAGAGGGAACACAAGCAGGGGGAGTGGGAGAGGGCGAAGCAGGCCTCCCGCGAAGCAGGGAGCCCGATTCGGGACTCGATCCCGGGACCCCAGGATCATGACCTGAGCCGAAGGCAGTCGCTTAACCAACTGAGCCACCCAGGCGCCCCCATAGAGATTACTTAATAAACAAATAAAATGAACAAACAACTTTTAAAAAAGAAAATTATTTAGAGTAGATGAAAAGAATCTTAGTTTATAGTAACTGTCTTCTGCAAGAGTTAATATAAACTGAAAATACTATCAGATCATGTTAAATTTAATGAATTACCCGATGAGTTACCAACAAAAATTTGAGAAGTATTCTTTACCCTAGAGATGAAGTAAAGGGCAGTAATACTGTGCAATTCTTCCCTTGTCACCTTTGTCGGAGGCAGAAGATTGAACTAGAAGGGTCATGCATTGAACCCAATGTGACAATTCTTATATTTTTGTGTTGAGACCACTATATCATATTATCCTTTGTTTAGATATTCCTATCTAAAGTCTCATGTTAGGTGTTATATTGGGAGGTGGTGTGTTATAATTTTGTATTTTCTTGTGCTTTTTGCTAGTCTTAAACATGATTACATACCTTTTCTGCAGAAAAACAGTGGTTTCTTGCTTTTTTTTTTTTCCTGCCTTTAGTTCCTTGTTTTCCAGCACCCAACATAACTTGTAAGGATTTTGGTGGCAATGAAACACATTTTACTGGAAATGAAGTTGGTTTTCTCAAGCCTATATCTTGCCGAAATGTGTAAGTCCATTACTGAAGCTAAATTTTTAGGTTACTTGCCTATGTTGTATCTTGACTACATAGAATAAAGAGATAAAAAGTTAATTTATGGGGAAAATACTGCACTAATATAATTTATCTTTTTTGCCTTTCTCAGAAAACCTCTATTTTAAGTGTGCATATTGTTAATATAAATGCAATTTACCACCAAGTAAAGCACAGTAGTTCACTATGTGGGATAGATAAAGACTGTGAATAGCCTCATGCCATGTTAACTCAGTCAGTTTATGCCACTAAATGAGTTATAAAAAATTCTGTTTTTAAAATTTGGGGGATTTCTAGAGTGCAAAAAAGGGATCATGTAGTTTTAGTATTAAAAGAATGTTGGGATGTCTAGGTGGCTCAGTTGGTTAAGATCTGACTCTTGGTTTTGGCTCAGGTCATGATCTCAGGCTGATGAGGTTGGGCTCTGTGCTCAATGTGGAGTCTGTTGAGATTCTGTCTCCCTCTCCCTCTTTCTCTCTCTGTCTCAAATAAATAAATCCTTAAAAAAATAAAAGAATGTTAATTATTAATCATTTGCATATTAAGGGCATTCTGAAATTTGGTTTCATTCTTTGTAATAGGTATGGATGATGAATGGTTAAACAGAATTTGAAAATTCATTTGGGACGTTAAGACAAGTGGCTTTATTTTGTTAGGAGTGTTCTTTGTTTAAAGGACTTCTAAGTTTGCTTTTTATTTTTGCTGTAGTAAAGCTAACATCTTATATTTCTGCCTTGTACTAAAAACATGATTTAGTTTTACCCATTCTTATTAATTGGTGGCACTATACTTTTATCTCTTAACTGTACATTGTTCCATTTTATTCGATGGCTCCTATTTACAGTTGTATCAAGAAATAACCACTGTTTGGCTTCCTTCCTTTCTTTCTTTCTTTCTCTCTCTATCTCTCCCTCCCTCCCTTCTTCCCTCCCTCCCTGCCTCCCTCCCTCTCTCTCTCTTCTTTCTTTCTTTCTTTCTTTTAAACTATTTAGCTATTTCTACCAGTTCTGTTAGAATTCCTAGAAATTACTAGTGGAGTCTTATTTTTCTTTTGACCTTCCTTCACTGAGTTAATGAGAAGCTTTAGATTCTGTCTTGCTGTGTAATCCTAAGCCAATCACTTAAGCTTTTTGGGTTCCAGGATTTCTCATTAGTAAAGTAAAAACTGCTAAAAGGAATTACTTCTCAAGTACTTATATATGGTTTAGCCAAGCTTTGAATTTATGGATTGATATTTCTTTTTTTTTTAAATATTTTATTTATTTGTCAGAGAGAGGGAGAGAGTGGCCGTGCACAAGCAGGGGGAACAGCAGGCAAAGGGAGAAGCAGGCTCCCCGCTGAGCAAGGAATCCAATGTCGGACTCGATCCCAGGACCCTGGGATCATGACCTGAGCCAAATGCAGACACTTAACTGACTAAGCCACCCAGCGTCCCTGGATTGATATTTCTACCATAAAAATTCCAAATGACTACGAATTTATTAAGTGCTGATCTAAGACATCATAGGTTATAATATAACAACTTAGAAAATCAGTCATCTGTTGAGAACAGCTAACCCCTCAGGTCGGACTTAAAGGTTTATATTACCTGTAATGGTAACACCACCATGGTCTGTTACTCAATTTCCAAGTTAATTCTGATTTTTCTTTCAGTGTCTATGGGTAGATTAGGCTCAGTGTGACTGAGCTGTACTAATCATGCTCACAAGACACTGATGTCAGTTATCAGAAGAAATGTAATTATCAGGGAGACCAGATATTCGCAAGTATACTGGCCAATTTATTCCCCTCCTATAGTAAAATCTACAATTCCAAAATAGAATTTGCTTAATGAGCATTGAATCAGAACAAGGGGAACTAAATTGATGGGTAAATTTAATGATAAGTCACAAAATTAAGATTACCCCATAAATAATTTTCTTAGAATATTCAGTACATGCCTACCGAAGAGCCAGCTCACTGACAAATTCTTACTCATTGAATGTTCCTTTCCCAGTTCACATATTTTCCTTCTCCTGTTAGCATATTCTTTTTCAAAATGTATATAATATTGATACTTGATGAAAACTCCCATCTTACTATTGCAGATATAGTCATTCTATTATGTATTCTCCAGCAACTGAAGTCTGGTAACCATGTCTGATTGATCACCAAGCCACACACCTATTTATACTAGCCAGCTGTTTTAGTTGGAGCAGACTAACGGCTGCAACAGATGTCTTTAGAATTTCAGTGGCTTAACACAATAAAAGTTACTTCCTCCTCACATCATGTTGGCGAGGAGGGCTGGGTGAGGTAAGGGGAGTGATTGTTGCTCCATGCAGTCATGCAGGAGCCTTGCACCTTTCATCTCTGGCTTTGCTTCCTCTTGTCCTCAGAGTCCTTTCCATTCAGCCAGCAGATGGGAAACAGGGAAAGGAACCCCGGGTAGGTGTGTTTTATGGATCAGATCTAGAAATGGCATACATCATTTCTGTCCTCATTACATTGGGCAAAACTCAGTTATGGCTACACTTAACTGCAAGATGGGCTAGAATATGTAACTTCACTGTACGTCCGTGAGAAAAAGGGCAGTGGCTCAGTGAACAATTTGACAGTCTCTGCTGTGCCACCCATTTTCAGGTTATTCTTTAGGGTGATCTAAGATATAGATAATTGCGTTTCTAATTTCATTACCCTTTCCAGCCAAGCTTTTTGAAAGGCTTGTTCCTATAATACTTACTTTTTATGAATTTTTCTGTTTAATGGAGTCCAGCTTTTGGCCATGCTGAAATTCACCAGCAATCTTTGTTCTATATCAAATGGATCTTTATAGTCCATATCTTAATCTTTCTACAGCTTTGGCATTTCCTTCTCTTAAAATTCTTTCCTTGACTTCTAGTATAAAACACTCTTCTATTTTCTTTGATACCTCTTCTTTTGTTTTTTCCTTAAATCTTGATATCCCCAAGATTATATCCTTGTCCTATTCCCTTTTTCATTCATTCACCCCTTTGGCTTTTCTCACCATCTTTATATATATTAAGGTCCCAAACTCAATCTATCATCTTCTCCTTCAAGTCATCTCGTTCTTTGTCTTAGTGAATGGCACCTGTCCTACTCAGTTTCTTAAGCTGAAACTTTGGAGCATTCTTGGCTTCTCCTTTCCCCTCATTTCCCACATTTAGCATGGTTACTTCTGCTTTCTTAGTATTTCCCAATTTTGTTCACATTTCTCTCCTGCTACTGCCCAGTAGGTTATACCTTGAGTTTCTACAAAGCCTACTAATTTATTTCTCTATTTCTAGTCTGGTGCCCCATTCCAGGGTAGATGGGACACCACTGCCCTCAGCATAAAATCTGACATACTTTCAATATTAGATGCATAAACAGATCTCTGGTCCATCGACCATCTCCCTCAACTCCCCCCAAATGTCCTAATTGTGAGTGAAATGCAAAAAAAACAGGATTGTAAGACTGACATAATCAGATTTGACTTTAAAGTGAAAACTCCAGCTACCTCTCTGTTTCTTTACTTACCTTTTGAAGCAAAACTCCTTCGAAGAGTTGTCTAATACTCCTGTTCTTCATTTTTTTTCATTCCAGGCTTTTTTTTTTTTTTTTTTTTAAGATTTTATTTATTTATTTGACACAGAACCAGAAAGAGAGAGAGAGACAGAGCAAGCACAAGCAGGGGGAACGGCAGGCAGGGGAGAAGCAGACTCTCTGCTGAGCAAGGAGCCCGATGTGGGGCTCGATCCCAGGAGCCTGGGATCATGACCCGAGCCGAAGGCAGCCGCTTAACCAACTGAGCCACCCAGGCGCCCCTCATTCCAGGCTTTCTTAAGCCTGCTCTGTTTGGTCTTTTTCCTGTACCACATCACCAGAATTGCCCTCGCTAAGGTCATTAATGAACTCCTTTTGATTAAATTTAGTGGTAAATTCTCAGCCATTACTTAAGTAATCTGTCAGTCACATTTGGCACAATTGATCACTCTGTTCTCCTTAATACAGTGTACTGTCTTCCCTTGACTTCCAGTATACCACACTCTTCTAGTTTTACTTCTTCCTCACTGTTAGCTTTTTCTCAGTTTTTTCTCTTCTTGATCGCTTAATATTGGAGTATCTCAAGGTTTAGTCTGTGAATCTCTCTCTCTCCCTCTTTTTTTTTTTTGACAGGGAAATGTCCTGGTTTAAAATACTTCCTACATGTTTGTAACTTACTAATTTATATCTCCAGCCCAGACTTCTCTCCCTAACTCTAGACTTGTAAATCCAGCTGTCTTTTGAACAACTCCACTTGGATATCTGATAAATATCTCAAACTCACATGTCCAACAATGAAATCCTTAACATCCTTCCAGGACTAGTCTACCCTCAGCCTTCCCCAACTCAGTTAATGCTAGCTTCATCCCTCTAGTTACATAGAACAAAATCTTTAGCTTTATTCGTATTCCTTTCTTTTTTCATTCCCTAAATTGAATACATCAGGAAATCCAGTTGTTATACTTCACAATATTTCCGGAATCTGATTACTTCTCAGTATTTCTTTTGCTATGACTCCAGGTCAAGCCACTATTAATTTCCATCTGGATTATGGCAAGAACCTTCAGACTCCTTTGTCCTTGTGGTAGCTTGCATTTGTTAAACAAATTCATCCCTCTCAATCACTATTAACTGGGTGGTGTATACTTTCCACTCTATTGATTTGGGGCTTGACCATATAATTGTATTTGTCCTATGTAATGCTAGCAGGTATGAAACAAGCAGGGGCTTAAATGTGCTTGTGAGGTTTAGCTCTCTTCTTGAATCTTGGTGATATGTTCTGAAAAGAACTTGTCCCAGGTAAATGCTATACCTTCAGCTGGGCCCTAGAAAAACTTAAGAGGAACTGATTTGAACTAAGTAAGTAACTTGGATTCAGACTGACCCAAACTTTAGCCTGAAGCAGCGTCTCCTGGCTGAACCCACCCTAGATCAGCTGAACCACAGGCAATTGCAGTCTACAAGTATGAGGATAATTGCTTATTGTTGTAAGCCACTGAGGTTTAGGGTGGTTTATTATACAATGTTACTGTGACAATAGCTCACAAGTACTCCCCTACAGTCTATTTTCAGCAGACATCTAGAGTTATTTTAAAATCTAAATCAGATCATATCACACGTCTACTTAAAATCCTGGAGTAGTCTCCCATATCCTTCAGAGTACAAAGTCTTTACAGCGGTATTCAAGGCCGTACATGATTTGCCCTCTTTGCCTCTTGTCATCTCTGTGACAGCTCCTACTATTCTTCTGTTCTCTAATTCCACTCCTGCTATACTGGCCGCCTTTATAGACCTCAAACATGTCAGGTATGCTGCGCTCACCGCAGCAGTTCTTTTGCCTGGGATGTTCCCCCTAGAGGTGTGGCGTGCTGACTAACTCACCTCCCTCGGGTCTTTGCTTATATATCACTTTCTCAATGACGCCTACTCTTATTACCCTATTTATATCTTAGATCACCCTTGTCTGTACCTCTGGCATTCTGAATTCCCTAAATGACTTGCTCCACTTCTTTTTTTAATAGCATTTATGACTTTTTTTAAAAGATTTTATTTATTTGAGAAAGAGAGAGCACGAGCGGGGGGAGGGGAGCAGAGGAGCAAAGGGAGAGGGAGAAGGAGACTCCCTGCTGAGCAGAGAGCTAATGCAGACTCAATCCCAGGGACTTGATCCCAGGACCCTGAGATCATGACCTGAGCTAAAGGCAGCCACTTAACTGACTGAGCCATCCAGGTGCCCCCATTTATGACTTTCTAACATAATATATGATTTAGTTTTAAAATGTTTATTGCTTGTTGCCTATAGATTGAAAGCTCTTTAGGGGCAGGGATCTTTGTTTCTTTTGTTCATTAATATATCCCAATAGCCTAGAATAGTGCCTGGCATGCAGTAGCTACCCAAAAGGCATTAATTAAATGAATGAATGGATGAATGAACAAATTAACGAATAAGTGATAATTAACACTTTTGTTTCCTAAAATGTTTACATGTTGGAAATACATGTATATAACACTCAGGTTCTAATTTTGTACAGAAATGGCTATTCATACAAAGTGGCAGTTGCGTTGTCTCTTTTCCTTGGATGGTTGGGAGCAGATCGATTTTACCTTGGATACCCTGCCTTGGGTGAGTATGTTTCATCAAGAAAAAATCCTTGTCAAACTTGTATTTCAGGTAAATATACCTGTTCTTCCCATTTTATTTTTTTAGAGATTTTTTTTTTTAAGATTTTATTTATTTGCGAGAGAGAATGAGAGACAGAGAGCATGAGAGGGAGGAGGGTCAGATGGAGAAGCAGACTCCCCGCTGAGCAGGGAGCCCGATGTGGGAC